ATATATATATATATATATATATATATATATATATATATACTGTTTGTGTGTGTGTATGTGTATTTGCTGCTAGCTAAGTAATAACATGCCTGTGTAAATTTCAAAACATACGAAGCGTGCTAAACTGTTATGTACATGCACACAAACGACACACACATTTTTAAAGTTGTCAACGTTTTAAGTCTTACCAACACGGCAAACAACAACTTCTTTTTTAGCGGTTGGCAAACAATACGAATTATCTTCTTATTGATGCTTCTTCCTTTTTCAAAATGAATGAGAATGTGACGTATTTTGACATGGGCGTGGTTTGTGACGTCACACTTGGATGTGGGCCAGGTTGGATGTCCACCGCAGGCTGCAGCGAGACGCTCCTCGAAGACATTATATATGAGATTCTTGCAAGTTTGTTAAGTATAAGTAATGTAAGCTTAATAACATTTTTGTGGGTTCTCGCTCATGTGGGAGTGGAGGCTAATGAAGTGGTTGATAAGCTTTCTAAGAGTGAAAAATTTAAGGGGGTCTGAATACTTTCCGTACCCACTGTATATATATATATACTGATGGTTCTAAAGACCCTATCTCTGGCAGAACAGCTGCTGCAGTATTTATTCCAAAGTTTCAAACTAGTATTAAGAAAAGAATAACTGATCATGTATCCGTGTATACAGCAGAATTAATTGCCATGGTGGTAGCACTCCAGTGGGTAGAGGATGTAAAACCAAGGTTAGTAGTAATATGTTCTGACTCTTATGCAGCAATACTGAGCCTTGCCAGTGGAGTCAAATCATCAAGGCAAGACATTATATATGAGATTCTTGCAAGTTTGTTAAGAATAAGTAATGTAAGCTTAATAACATTTTTGTGGGTTCCCGCTCATGTGGGAGTGGAGGCTAATGAAGTGGTTGATAAGCTTTCTAAGCAAGCTCTTAAACACTCAGAAATAGATATTCAAGTGACTCTTAGCAAAAATGAGGTTAAAGGGAAAATTAAAGAATTAATAAACAAAAAATGGCAAGAAGTATGGAGCTGTGATAGCAAGGTCAGACATATGTATAATATTCAGCAGCAAGTAGGAAATGGAAGAAGTGTTTTTAGGAATAGGAAAGAAGATACAATTATTTCTCGCATCCGAATAGGGCATACTAGATTAAATCGCTCTCTGTTTAATATAGGAAAACATGAAACAGGTCAATGTATTTTTTTGTAATCAGGCAGAAACAATAGAGCATGTTTTAATAAAATGTAAAAAATATGGAAAAGAAAGGTTAAAACTCATTAAGGAAGTAAGAAACATGGGTGTTGAATCATTTAATTTGTCAAGCCTTTTGAAAGAGCATGCAGAACAAGGTAAAATATATGGTGCTATTGTTAAATACATTAAAGAAATATGATTAATCAAGAGAATGTAGGATTTTTTTATATATATATTTTTTTTATATGCATATATAAATATGTATATATTAGTTGCTTATTAGTGCTTCACACTCCAGTCCAGTTGGTGGCGGTAAATGCACCAGAAGTTGGTTTGTCATCCGCCATAATACGTTATTAGAAGAAGAAGAAGAAGAAGAAAAAGAAGAGACGCTCCTCGGACTGAACCGGGAAAAGTTGTTTCCTGAACTCTTGGTGCAGTTTTGTTGAAGGCCGCCACTGCTGCGCTTCACACAGGAAAAGGAAGACGGATGCGGGCGAAGGGAAGAATATCGAAACGAAAGGAAAATATCGAGATAAATGACGTGAAACCATGGAAGTGTCGGACACGACAGCATCGCGCAATGAGGAGAACAATGGTATGAACAACCAGTACATCTTAAACTATAGTCTAAAAGTAGAGGTTTGTGTCGATATAAACACATTTTGGGCAATTATTCCGAGATTGTTGCGATTAAAATAGTAAGTAATGACCATTTCAGCTTGGCGTGCAAACATGTATCGTTAGCTGCCGAAGCTCTTAAATAAAGCGAATAGACAGCATTAGATCTTGTATATGCATTAAACAAAATGTGGGCATGCTTTGATGACAATCGTGTTTTAGCGCCGTAAATTTTTAGGTTCGATATTCGTCGGACATTCGCTTTCCCTTGCCACTGTTCTATAGAGTCGACATTCATACAAAGATATAAATACCACGATTAGTTTTAACAATATGCAACCATTGTATATCGACATTAAAAAAAATTAATTCAAAATTCCTACGTTTATTTTAGCTGCAAATTTATACTCGAGAAGCTTTGACGCAGTATCACAATACACGATGCTTAAGGGACCGTCTGAACTGGTTTAAAAGTCAAAATTATTGTAATTACAGTGACTTTTAACGTTTAATCATACACATTGTAAAACTTGTAGTACTCAAGAGTGACTTAATAGAGGTTAAATTTTGACTACCTCATTTTATACAAGTACATAAAATAAATTTCTTGGAAAAATATTTACTTTACTGTACGTACAGTAAACAAAAAAGCCCCCGTTGAAACAGGGTTTCCGCGGGGCATTAAAAAGCATTAAAAGTCATTAAATGGATTTTGCGAAAATTAAGGCCTTAAATAGCATTAAAAGTCATTAAATTTTATCTCTACAGGCATTACATTTTTTAGATGGTTTTGAATAAAAATATTACCAGTTTACTTTGAATATAGCGCCTTCATAATTTATAAAAAATAACTTTTTAATTTGCTGTCGCAAAATATGTACATTAGTGTGATACACACAAAGAACATTTTGGTAATCGCCTCCGGTCAGTGCGAAATAGCCGTAATGCCAGATGTTTGGACACCGGCGGCCTAGAGTAAAACTAAGAGCAGATAAT